GAGAGAGAGAGAGAGAGAGAGAGAGAGAGAGAGAGAGAGAGAGAGAGAGAGAGAGCTGTGGGCCCAACGCCTAGGAGGGTGTATTGAAAAGATGACGTAAAACGTAGGGGTAAACTGAAAATTAATTGGTCAATTTGAAAGTTAGCACATAGGGGGTATTTTGAGAAGTCGGATCAGTGCCTGGTAGGGGTATATTGCAAACGTGGTTGTTCCAACCGACCCGAAAGGGTATTTTGCAAAGATTTTGAGTTGTCAGAAGATTCAGGAGGGCGTTTTGGCATCATATCATCTTTGAGGGGTATAAAGCAAATTTCCTTTCTTTTTGGTTCTTTGTTTTGTCTTTTTGTATTCACTGGCCCACATTCTTCATTTGCGGCCATAGATCTGCGTGATCTACGGTCCGAAGCGCGGAACCCGAGGAACTGCGGCGTTCGGGCAGACCTGGCGTAGGCCGAACCCACCCGTGCGCAAAGGACGCGGAAGGCCGCGCGCGCGGCCCTGCGCGCGACCGGCAAGAAGTCTGCATTTGCATTTTGAGCGGGCTACCGCCGTCCCCCGAGTAGAACGTTCGGTCATTGCAGCCGAGTTTTTGCAGCTGCATTCTGTCGAACTTTCCGTCTAGATGCTGGGACATGGCCGTGCGTTCTATTCGGGGTATGGTCACACCTGCAGGCTCAGGCGAAGAGAGACAAGAATCGGCGCCAGATTCTTTCCTGTGGCTGACCTGACCTGTTAATTAATCTGAGGGCGTTAATTTTTGGACTTTTCCTTCATTTGGTCTTTATTTTTGGGCGTGCGCTACCGTTAGCCAGCACGGACAACTGCAAGGAGAGTAGGAGTGCGGCGAGGAGGAGGAAGGAGGCGGAGGAGGGAGGAGGAGGGAGTAGGGAGGACGGAGGAGGGAGGAGGGAGGAGGGGGAGGATTCGCAGGTGCAAGAAGCGCCCGCCATGGCCGGCCGGCTTTGTCACAACTGTGGTAACGAAGGCCATGTCAGACGGTTTTGTCCGTTTGATGGGATTTCGAACACCCAAGGAGATCACGCACACAAGCAGTGTCGAAATTGCGACGAACTAGGTAAGGGGGGATGCACCCATCCGCTTTTCCTTTTCTTTTTCTTTGTTTGCTCTTCCGTCCGTGCATTGCGTTTATCCATTCATCTATGCATGAAGGTGATGCACGACATGCATCTAGACAGTGTGATGGCCCAGAGACGGCTGTTCGGCGAACGCCGAAGGAGATCACTCACACATTCGTTGTCGGGATTGTGGACGAACTAGGTAAGGGGGGGCATAGATCTGTTTTTTTTTTTTTTTTTTTTTTTTTCCCGTTTCTGAATGAGCATCCATCCTTCCACCCACTCCGGCAGGTATGTCGGAGTGGCTGAAGGCATTGATTGGTTTGCTAAATCAACATACAACAAGATTGTATCATTGGTTCAAGTCCCATTTCCCTCCGTTCCGTCGGGGGCGTAGTTCACGGCGTTATCCCTGTGCATGTAAACAGAAAGGTGGCCGAAATACAAGTACGTAGACTGGCGACGTTATCGCTGTATATAGACAGAAAGGTGGCCCAAATACAGCTATATGATGACAGTGCGTTCTATTGCGCTGAAGATGCTGGGACTTCCTGGGACGCTAGCACTTCGTGGGCTTTCCTGGGCTTAGATGCATCCCAGGAAGTCCCAGCGTCTTCACCTGAAAAGAAGGAATAGAATGCACGGTCATTATGGGTTTATGTTTTTGGGCCGACTTTCACTCTAGGTAATGACTGTGCGTTCTATGGGGGCGAAGCTATGCACAGCATGAATACTACCTGGCTTTCGTTAGGATGTATGTGGCTCGCAGGCCAGGTAGTATTCATGCTATGCGGCCCCTTCTTTTTTCCTTCCCTGTTCTTTTTTTACTACCCTCTTGGCTTTTATCTGCAAGTTCTTGGGCCATCTCTGCCGGTACTCTGTGTGTGTGTGTGTGTGTGTGTGTGTGTGTGTGTGTGTGTGTGAGAGAGAGAGAGAGAGAGAGAGAGAGAGAGAGAGAGAGAGAGAGAGAGAGAGAGAGAGAGAGAGAGAGAGAGAGAGAGAGAGAGAGAGAGAGAGAGAGAGGTGAACTGGTTATGGTGCTGCTCGGATTTGAGATGTCCACGTGGCACCATTATCGTAATTCGTTTTCTTGATGCCCGCATTCTTCTCGTTCGATGTGGGTTTATTCTTTTTTCTTTTTCTTTTTTCTTTTTCTTTTGTTTGCGGAAAGGGGTAGGCCCTACCGATATTGTATGTATCTGATCCATCATCAGGACTGGAACTCCTGAGCTGTTTATTAACAGTTACATGTGTGTAGCACTGTGGACCATTGAGTTCAGACACATGGGCTGAAATGTATATGTCTACCATATATATATATACCGATATATATCGTCTCAAACAGAACTGCCCGGTAAACCGTAGGCAGAGAGAGAGAAGAGGACAACAAACCAGGGGCTGTGACAAACTGTTTCGTCGGAGTTTCACCGACTCATCAGGAGGCTGAATATATATATACATACACCATATACATCGTCATTGAGAACTACCCGGTGAACCGTAGGCCGAGAGGGAGAAGAGGAAAACAAACGAGGGGCTTTGACAGCATATATATTGTCACAAAGATGACATCATATATATATACATACGTATATATATTTTATTATATGAAAGGGTCTATTGTCTGTATGGCGTAGAGAAGGAAGAGCTTAGGGCCTCGTCGCGCCACTCACCAAATGTGAAGCTGCTTTAAAACATGGCGGATGTATCTTGCCACCTTCTAGCTGAAGATACAGCCGCCGCCATTTCCCGCATTTGGTACAACAACTAATGCGGCGCCGCACCAGTCACCACCAAATGCAAACAGTAAAAAAAATGTGGCGGGTGTATCTTGCGCATGTAGTAGCGGAAGATGCATCCTCCATTTCACGTATTTGGTCAGTGGTGTGCGGCGAGTTCGTTAACCAACTCCTCACGTCCGGCGATGGGATGGTCTGTCACAGCCCGGCTCGCAGGGCATAACTTGCACCAAGACTTCGCTAGACGGATCTGGTCGACTTTATGGCGAGATTCAGCCGAAAATGTCCTAGGTTTAGTCTTTTTGTGCTTAGCAGGCTTGGCACTGGGTTACCGCAGCAGCGGCCATAGACTCGAACGAACTAGGACTTGCCTAGATGTACCTGTCCGCGCTTTAGGGCGGGGTTCACACGAAAGAAACAGTTCTAGTGCGAGGATTGACTAACATAAGGATGCTTTCCCCAAAAAAAAAAAGAACAAAAGAAGGATGCTTTCCCCCCCAAAAAAAAGAACAAAAGAAGGATGCTTTCCATGGTGTCAATGTGTGCCTATGGCCCAGGCCCCAATCGTGATATGTTCATGATAAAAGAAAGCACGAACCTGCCCTCCTTAACGACTACGTAGGTTCATGCTTTGGAAGGACGTCTTTGTCCTTTTTTTGGGTCAAGCAGCAAATTTATCGCTCTTTTTCTTCTTATTTTTTTCTTTTTTTTTTTCTTCTTTTTTTCCTTTTCCATAAACACACACACACACATACTGCCCCTTCTATTCTGGGGGCCACCAGTGCGGAAGATACCGCCCCTTCTATTCTGGGGGCCACTTGTACAATATATATATATATTTTTCCTATCACCCCCGCATACACAACAAAAAGTAGAAATAAAAAATCTTGTACAAGAAAGACCCAAAAGGGAAAGTGAAGTGACGGCAATGAGCCCCACCGGGAGACTCTCCGTGTTACCCAGACAGATATCGCCCACTACGCCATAAATATTACCTCCCCCAGCCCGCGATTCTATCACCTACTCTTCCCATCCTTCCGTCCTCACTCCTGCAACCCACCGCCCAAAAACCTCTCCCTGTGTTTTCCCCAGCATTTTCCTTATCCGCTTCCGTCTGACATTCTTCTTCACTTTGTGTTGTGTACCATAACACCTTTCCTTGGACCTTTGAGCTTGTTTTCGGTCCCACAGCCAGAGTATTCGTTATCAGCCTAGTACCTATCCCGTGCTATCGCTTCTTGCCCTCTTCCACATGCTAGCATTGTTCCCCTTACCCGCACTGCGTACCCTTACCCCTACTTCTTATCGCTGCTGTGGCAGTTCTATCCTCCTATGTATATTGTTCCCATGACTTTTGGTACTACCTGTTGTCACCCAATTCCGCTCCATGCACATCTTATGCTCCATAATATCAGGGCCCGTGTCTACGTATCACAGGCCAATGCAGGCCAACTTGGATGTGTCTTCCCCCCCCCCCCCCCCCCCTCCCCCCCCGGGTCATTTGGATCTGTCTTGCTGAATAGCAAAAAAAGGAAAAAACGACTAATAGAAGCCAGAGCGAGGAAAAAAAAGATGTAGAAAAGAAAAATAAAATCAAAATTAATCATGTTTCTAAGCAATCAGGCCGAGTTCCTTGACTGCGTGATTGCTTTTTCATTGCTTTTTGATTGCTTTTTGATTGCTTTTTGATTGCTTGATGTTTGATTTCTTGATTGCTTGATTGCTCGATCCCTTGACCGCTTGATTGGTTGCTCGCTTGCTTGATTATGCCTGATTGCTCAATTGATTGGTCGTGTGCTTGATTGGTCGTTTGCGGGATTGTTTCCTTGATTTCTTGAATGTTTGGTTGTTCTCCATTGCCCTCCACAGCGGCGACAAGGAGTTTTTTTGGGGGGAAGAGGGGAGGGGGAGGGGGGGGTCTTTTTGTCTCCGCTATGGAGGCACTTGCGAGGAATTACTGACGGTAATTTCCTCATTAGGAAAGAGATGGGTCGGCCAGTCCGGATGGACACAGGATCGGAAGAATTACTGACGATAATTTCCTCCTCAGGAAAGAGATGTCCTCCTCTCTCTCTCTTTCTCTCTCTCTCTTTTCTCTTTCTCTCTTTCTCTCTCTTTCTCTCTAAGTGAATGCAGTCTGTTTCGCCCTATCTGTTACATACTTCCACCGGTTTCTCTTTCCCTGAAACTCCTTTTCTTCAAGAAGAAAAATAGCGTCGCTCGGATCTGTTTTATTGCTTTCACCAATCACGATCTTGATGATGATGATGGTGATTTTCGTGCGGAGTTTCCTATGAAAAAAAAAATAAAAAAAGGATGAGGAGGTTCCGTAATGTTGTGAGTATGACAACGCCAACACACGGTAATCCCGACGCTGCTGGCATTGATGATAATCATGACCTCAACGGCGCATGGGTGACGATTGATGATTGAGGATTGAGTGATGATGATGATTGAGGATTGATGAGTGATGGTGATGATTGAGGATTGATGATTGAGGATGATGGTGATGAAGAAATGGGGCTGTGGTAATGAATGCCGCAGCCGTGTGACGCTCATCAAGCCAGATACGTGCGTGGCTCTGAAAGCTGCATAGCACCCTAAGAATGTATGTGGACAAAAAGAGGCCGCCATTCGAACCTCGTTGCTTGATTGCTTGGAGGTATATATGCGTAGGAGGGGGGGCTCAATCCCGACGGTTCTCTCACTTCCGCCCGGATAGCGGGCTGGGATAAAAATGGATTTTTTATTTTTTATTTTTTATTGGAGCGGTGCAAGGCAACGGGCGAGTGGTTACGAAAAAAAAAAAAAAAAAAAAAGTGCAAGTGGTTCGCTAGCTAGCGCCGGGATAGTTGCGGGTGTGCACTACTACTGTCGTCACCCGAATAGAACGCCAACGTCCGGTCATTACCGCTATATCTAGACTGGAAATCGCGCCAAATACGGCTATAATGACCTGGCGTTCTATTCTGCTGAAGACGGGTAAAAGCCCAAACGCGACGGGAATGTGTACGGTGTCTGGGATTCGGGGCCTCGCCTCGCCAATCACCAAATGTGCGAAATGAGAATGTATCTCTCGCTAGGACGTGGAAAGATACACCCGCCAAATTTGTGTCTTTTTCACATTTGGTGCGTTGTGCCTCGAGCCCCCTAGGGGTATATAAGGAAATGTAATGTAATGCTTTTCTTGTGAAGCGTGCGCGCGTATGAAAGTTTTTTTCTGCATATCTGCATAACACACGTCCAGATTCAGGCCCTCATCCAAAAAGTTCTTCCCCGCCGCCGAGGCGTTCCCAGAAGCCGGTAATTGCCGTTTACGCTAACCAACACTCTGTATGGAAGCGTTGCGGGTATGGAAGGTTTTTCTGCATCTCTGCATAAACCACGTCCAGATTCAGGCCCTTCATCCAAAAAACCTTGCCTCCCTGTACACTAACCAACACTTTCTCCTTTCTCCTCCGTCTCCGTACATTGCGCTTCCTTCCCTTTTTTGTTGTAGTTTATTGTTTTTTTTTTTTTGCCCTTTTTCTCTTTCTTTCCTCCCCTGTACTTTTCCCAAAAGTTCGAACCTTTTTTTTTTTCTTTTTTCTTTTTTTCTTTCTTTTTCTGAGAAAGAAAGAATTGCATTTTTCGTCCATGATCCCATCTCAAGAATGCAACACGCGACCTTCCTCTCTCATGGAAATTGTACACTCTCAACCAAACAGCTAAGCTGTCAGGGGTGAAAGTTAAGCCCCCAGTTGGGTACTTACGCCCCCAGTCACCTTCACACCTGACCCGCCCGACCACACAGGCCTGTTG